TGTCCAGAGATATCAGAATTATGTTGGTTGACCAGTCTGAGCTTAAATACAAATAAAATGTGTTTTTGTAAAAGATGATTTAAGTTCAAAGGAATGCTTGGAGAATAAGTTATTATGGGAATTTGTGAGGCCATAGAATTGTAGATGTAGCTGCCATATTTTAGCATTTATTAAAATACACCAGTCAACTTTTAATAATTTAATTAAAATCAAATTAAGATTGACAAATTCCATTTAGGAATAAACTGTCCTACTCAGTGTGTAGTACTCACCGGTCCAACAATGTCAGAAACGTGGGACACCGTGGTGCCAGAGGCAGCTCCCAGGTACATGACCTTTGAGCCGGGCTTGATGTGGATCTGGTCAACTCCTCCCAAGATGGCTGCTGCCAGCTTTGAACGGAACGGATTCCAGGCTCTGTACTCAATCTTTGTTTCTCCTTCCTAACAGACAAAGAAAGACATAAAAAGAAAATCTAAATTTACAAAACATGTAACACTTAACTCCATAGTTGCTGCAACATTCACAAACAAAGACAAGCGTCCTATCATCAACAGAGATTTGATACAAGCGCAAACTAGAGTATTGGTGGCATGGTAACATACGGCTCAATGAGCTGACAAAGGGTTACTTTGAATTAGGATTCATCACTTGCTGCCATGACTGTTTCACACAACCAAGAGTGCAGCTAAAAATATGTCATATGTCATAAATGCCATTATTGATCAAACCAACATAATTTTAACAGATGTACAATGATAGACAGTTCCACTAAGTGTATACGAGGCAGTGATATAAGCCTGCTAATTCAGAATGTGAAGTTTCTGCCACCTTGCATTTCCATTCCAACTTTATTTATATAGCACATTTAAAAACAACTGAGTTGACCAAAGTGCTGTACATCAATAAATATATAAAAAGCAGCATAAATATATTTAGACAGAACCAATAGGACAACAACCAAATGTAATCAATCAATCAATGTTTATTTATATAGCCCAATATCACAAATGTTACATTTGTCTCAGTGGACTTTACAGTTTGTACAAAATGTCAGTATGACAATACGACACCCTCTGTCCAATAGGACAACAACCAAATGTAATTGTTTATTATCGTAGATCTGAGCACAGGGCTTTGATTAGTCAATAGGTGGTGTTTTACAAAAGTAGACCTGTTGGACCACAATATGCCACTTAAAGCTTCACACCTACAGGGTTAACGAACCATGGCGTTTTACTACGGCCAGAAGTAAACTACTGTCTTAGGACTGAAACTCGGGGTAAGACCGTAGTTACTTGATAACATCAAGACCTGCTTTGTACTACAGACTTTAGGACTGGAAGACTGCCGCACAAATGTACTTTGTATTTGACGAACAGATAATTCATGCAGTTTTCAATGCAATAAAGGTCTAAACTGAGAGTGTCTCACCTCAATACTCATCCTCTTTTCTCCATACACTGACTCCCCAACCACCATGTTTCTGGTCACCAGGGCATCCTCCTTCCCTCTGCAGATGAACACACCTGAGTGGACACAAAACAAATCACCAGTCAGAACTAAAGGACATATTTAGTCTGTTAAACATAGGTAAATATAGTCAGACAGATAATGGTTCCTAGTTTATCTACAAGTGGATATATGCTCTCTTAAACCACAAACATTACATCTTCATTAGTAGATCTAATGAAAGCCATCTTTTTTGTTTTACGTATGAAAACTCCCAAGCCGCTTAAGTGTTCTAGCACAAATATTATAAACGCTAATAATACAAACCTTCATGTCTGTGTGGCTCAACCGTGATCTTCTTTCCTGCTCCGAATCCTCCTCTGCCGCCACCCCTTCCTCTGGGGGCACCTCTGCCGCCACCCCTGCCCCGGAATCCTCCACCATCTGGGGACCTGAATCCACCTGAAAACAGAATGTTCACAACTTAATTTATTGCATGGCAAAGGGTTCAATTCAACCAAAACTAACCTAATCTCGAATAGATAAATATCTTCCAACAATTGCTCCAAATGGCTGTTGTCATGCCACATGTGATTAACTTCAATATGTGCATGGTGTGATAATGCAGATGAGACTCACCTCTTCCTCCCCTGTCACCGAATCCTCCTCGTCCTCCTCCCCTGTCACCGAATCCTCCTCGTCCTCTTCCTCCTCCCCGGTCACCAAAGCCTCCTCGTCCTCTTCCGCCTCCCCTGTCCCCAAATCCTCCTCTGTCCCCAAATCCTCCACGCCCGCGAGGGGTGAACCCTGAAAAGCAAACACATAATGCGTGGCATTAGAAGGTTATGGGGGCTACAACACAATAGGACTGCAACAACTGTGATTGGTCAGGTTGGGCTGCTTGAGTTCTCTCCTACTTGTTGCATGTGCAATTGTTACAATACAACAGAATATGATGGTAATATGCTGTAGTAGCTAACAATTGTGTATACAATCTTAACTTAATACACTACTAGTTAGGCGATATGAAAATGTTCTTGCTTGATGTTTTTTTAAATCGTGTCGGGTCTGGTTGTTGCCATTGGTGGCCAAAGCCCCGCCCCGTTCTGCTGAGCAGGAAATACAATGGACACTTTGCTGTGGTGAAAAAAGCATGGCTGCACGTGTGACTCAAGTAAACTGGGTATACATAGCAACATGTAGATACTGTCGATATCCGTAAAAAAAAAACGCGATTAGATTTTCTTTGTCAATTAATTGTATGAAGATTTTCAAACTTTCATCTAATATATTGGTTAAGCATTCTGGAACTCAAAATACACGCATTAAAGGGTCCAGCGTCTTCGCAGTTTTACGTTACTTTAACATAATTTTCAACGCACGAGCACATTTAACATTGCATCAACAAAACGAAGGTGACTCTTAAAACACTGGTGAAACACGGATTTCCAGTAAATACAAACGAGGTTTCGACACGAGCGTATGTTAGTAGAAACTATCGATAACTTCCTAAAATAGTGGAACACAGTATACAAGAAAACACGTCTTCCGACAGAAACACTATACCGAAACACTGCTATGTATAAATGAGGTTGCTTGCATAGAAAGACGTGTCTGGTTGTGTTCAGCTCGTGGAGCTAACACGTGTGCTGTACTTTAGTCAGTGCTGCGCCGCGAGCTGCTACTCAACGCAATTTAGCCGTTTATTCAACCCTAACCGCACGTTTCTATATTTATATCTATAGTTACAGCGATCCTAGTTAACGGAGAAAGCGCCCATACACGTTATTTAACTTGTCTTTGCGCGGCCAACAGTTTACCATGAGGTAAACCGAGCCGCATGGCGGTGTAGGCCACGCTCACATTAGCACCTTTAACTTTAACGCAGCAGCTTAACCACAAATACATGATGATCTAACTAGTTAACATTACTTTAACACGATGGCTTACTGTACCTGGACTCATGTTTTCTGGTTTAGCGTGTTCTATCAATGGAGGCTACGGTCCTCTTTGCTTCCTCCTCTCTGTGTCTCTTCCTCACAGTGACTCTTTCTCTGCGTGGGACAGCAGCACGTGTGAAGTCTGATTCACTTATTTTCGTGAGGCTCCACCACAGAGCACAGGGGACACCAGCGCCACCACCTGGTCTGGAGGACTTAGATAAAGCCAGTACAAAAAGCGCATTCGTTCCATAAATGCTGAGGGAAAAACCAGCAACTTTTTACTTTCTGTATTGTCGACAGAACCTTGTAAGAATGTGAAGGATAAAGCCAGAGCTGCTTAAAAAAATCCTGGTGTTGCTGCCGTTTTTGCTAAACCGGCAAATAAGTCAGTGGCTGTTCAGTGCTGACTGTAGTCACTGGTATAGCACTATCTGTGAGGATATCTAAATATATCCAGAATGCAGTGAAACCATAGACGGTGAAACCCTTAATAAAGTCTATAGTGTTATTCACAAGCTGAGCAGATTTTACATTTAAGCAAACGTCAGAATTAAAACTTATAATAAACAAGTAAAAGAAAGTTATAGTCCTTTACAGGAAAATAACATGTTAAAATAAATTCCCAAAAATCATTACGTTTGAATAAGTTAATCACTAAGATGCAGTAGGAATAGTGTACACTATGGATAATGGATGATTGCCAGGTTTATGATGTTCAGTTTAAACCAGTATAAAAATGCCTACTGATGATCATGATTCTGTCTTCAGGTGCAGGTGGAGTTCATTGAAGAAAGAAATGTGGGGGCGGATTTCTTTTGGTCTGATTTGTTTATATTGTGAGCTGTGCGCGTTGGATCTGATTCTGAGGTCTCTACAAGAAGCATCATTTAGCAGCATTTCACTGAAACATAACTAAAATCCTGGCGGAAATTGAATGACTCAACGAAGGATATATTGGGTTTTAGTTCATAGTATATATTTAACTCAGATTCTTTACACATTCAAAATAAATCCTGTTCGAAGGAAACCACTTGGATCCAAGTCTATGATGATAAATCAACCTGGAAATGGGTCAATTATGAATTAAAAACTAAGATTGCCATCACTCATGACAACAGATTTCTGCAGTTTCCTGAAGTAAACTGGGTGAACAGAAGTCTATATATATTTAAAAAATAAATAAAGTGTCTGTTTCATCCTAATGGTTAATAATATCCCTTTCAACACTGGAAAGCCTGAAGCCTCAAACTGCCATTTCCCTGTTTAGAGAATGTAGGCTACCTCTATGCCAGAGGTTTTGGCCCGAGACATGCTTTTGTTTTGCTGATCAGGGTCTGATAATAGCGCCGGCGAGCGCCGGAAACACTTGAAACAGACTATTCCTACACAAGATCAGGGTAGTTCTTCCACCTCAAACTCTTCCAATAACACCTGAGTAAGTTTGCAGCTGTGTGTTTTACTCCACTTTGTTGTAAATAAAACTGCAGCAGCTTGACCACAGAGCCTGAACGTTGTGATCAGCTGATTTTGCGCAGTTCACCAGTGTGTGCGCGGGGCACAGCTGTGCAAAGGGGAGTCTCCCTCCGTAGCCAGTTGGCGTAGTAACAGCAGCCACGTCTGAGCACACGGCACCAACTGTGTCGTCCAGTAATCTAAGCGCCTTCTGGAAAAGCTTCACAAGTCCGTCCATGCGTTTGCCGCGCATGCGTACCTGCGTACCAGTTATGTGTACCCCTGCTTGACAATAAAGCCTTGTTTACGTTTTTAAAACCTAGATTTTAGTTGTTCTCTTTTAGTCTTAATGCAAACAGAGAGCTTTGGTTCACACTCCAGTTAAGTAGGCGGCGGTAATGTACCGATTACCGAACACGAGAATTGCCATACGTCATTAAACAAAAAGAAGAAGAAGAAGAAGAAGAAGCGGCTGCTTGTCTCACAAAAAATAGTCGTAGAAGAAGAAGAACACAAACACATGAGCTAAACTAGCGGTTCTCCGGTGAGGACAATATTACTGTTTTACTGTGGCCAACTTAACAACTACCATTACCTGTTAATTATTGCAAGTCATTCATAGCCAAACAACTGCTGTTTGTTATGCTTTGTATGCTTTGTATGCTAACTGGAGCAGCTAACTGCAGCCATGTTTTGTTGCTGTCATTGAGTAACTTTAGCAAACGAGGCTAAAGCTTTAACCTTAACCTACCCTCTGACCCTAATATTTTTAGTTTGATAAGTAGCTAACTTTTATTGGCCTTAAGTTGTATACGTTACATTTTCATTTCATTTTTATACGCTTTGGTAATGTCTTTATAAGTTGCTAACAGTCTGATATTCCTCTTCAAAGTTGCTCTCTGATTGGGATGAATGTACATCAAGTGAAAGCTACTGTGATGTGAGACCTGCCATGGACTGTCTGCAGAGAAGAGCTCGTGAGGATTTAATGCACATCTGTTGACACGCGGTCAGTCAGTGATGGCTGTCAACTCCCTGCTGAGATGCTCCATCAGGTAACCCACGCTGCTTGTGACGTGTGCATGGTGTATGCTCGAGCTGTGTCAGCTTCATCCTCACATGTGTTGTGACATGTAAGCCTCACATGTCACAACACATTTGGTGATCTCAAGGTGATGGTTCTAGATAATAGTCAAGCCAGGATCAAGGAATGTCTGTATACAAAGTGGCATGTTTGACAGACTGAATGTTTCCCCTTTTCAATTACATAATGCAACCATATTATTGTGTACACAAAAACATTACTACAAACTGTATTAAACATTAATGATTAGTTTATTTATTGTAATTCATTTATCAAATACAAATGCCAAACAGTTGTGTACATCCTCTATAGTGTGCCAATGATCCAGCTTTCATCTCTAACTATTTCAACTGAAACTAGGCAGGCTTGAAACTGTTGTTGAGACAAAAATACAATTGAGTGATTGCACATTGGACTCTTCGTTTGCAATAAGCATTTTTAGTTTTTATGGGGTAAACAATTGGTTGAAGAACAACCGATAATTTCATCAACAATCAAAATAATCTATATTTAAAACTGTGTGACAATACATACTATACTTCCATATTATTATAAAACGAGTCACCTTCCTGTGTTTCTGAGCAGGCTGCAGAGGAAGCGTGTAGCCACACATTTAGCCCAGCAGAGAGCGCTGTCGGGGGCAGAAGCTGTCACTGCTCTCAGACCCTTTTACTTTGCAGTCCATCCTGACTTCTTTGGTCAACACCCCGTGGAACGGGTAGGTGTCTAGTATATTATCACGTGTTTAAATGTTCTGTTGAAAAGATAAAAACGCTAAAATTGTTGAACTGAGCCTATAAACGTCTGGTTCTCAGGAGTTTGGTGTGTATTTATCACATAGTTGATGTTTTTTGGTGATGTTGGACGGAACACAAGACCAATCATCATCATGTAAAGAGGAGATTCCCCACACTGTGTAACACTGAGTGGTGTGTTTTACAGGAAGTCAATGAGACTTCATTGAAGAGGCTGAATAGCTATCTGGACCACCTGCAGAAGCCCGGCTCACACTCAGTCCGGCCAATGAAGCTCACTTTTTATGTCAGGGACACGAAGGACAGCAGCGATGTGCAGCCAGACCTCCTGGCCTCAGGTACACTTTCATTAATACTGCTCATAGTATTTAATCTATCTTACAGATGTTTCACCTTCCGCCTGTCCTCAGGGTTCCGCTCAGTGAGCTTCACCCTGCACACATACGATGTCCTGAGCACGGTGTGGAACGTGTTGAAGTCCTGCAGCCTGCCCACTGAGCACATGAAGGATCTCAAAACAAGTGTAGAGACATCTAAGAGACCACCTGAGGGGGGGGGGGGGGCTTTCTACAGACCTATTCGATGGCATAAGAGCTACTACAGCTTCACTGGATTCAAAGACCCGTGAGCAGGAGCTGCAGCAGGCCAGGAGGGTGGAGCCCACTCTCATGTTAGTAACAGTGAACGCACATACAGTACATAACAAATAGATTCACTACTTTTTTGATACAAACCAACATATGATGGAGAGTTCAGTCCAAAACTGTTGTTTTATGCATTTGTTTACCTATAGTTCAAACAAACATGGTACATGTCAATAAGCAAGTATGTGTTTTTGAACTCCGTAAAGAGGCAGGCTAGCCGTTTCCCCCTGCTTTCAAGCTTTATGCTTAAGCTAGGCTAACCACGTCCTGACTCCACTCTCATCACAGACATGGGACATCTTCTCATCTCCCACTTGGAAAGATAATAAATGTTTCTCATGAAGTAGAATAATGAAAGTAAAGTAACCCAAAGACCTAGGGGACCATTCTTGAATATTCAAACGATCTGATGGACAGGCATTTACCATTCTTGTAGCAAACTATTTACATGTCCAGCATTTAAGGAGAAAACAATCATTAAGTAGAGGTCTTTTTGCTTGTGTCCAACCTGATGAATGTAAGTCCATTATTTACCACTCTTAGCTTCTGTTTTGGTCTTTTCTAGCTCAGTAGCTGCTAACTGCTCTACTATGTTCAGCCGCTTGTTTCTAAAGGCCAAGTCATGGTTTCAACAAGTAACTCAGTGCATGGACTGTGGCTTTATAGAGTTGTCGGAGTGGGTTCTTATTGCCTTTTCTTTGTCAGCTTGTGGCTGAGAAACAATGAGCCTGAGGCCACGAAGAAGAATACGGCTAGTCTTCCTCGGAGAGAAGAGCTGAACAGACTGAAGAATGAACTTAGTCGCAAATTGGATCTGTCCGACATCAGGTACACTCAACTCTACTCAGTAGGATAGGAAACTGTAGTCCTGAACGACCTGAGGAGCCTTGTTCTTGCAAAATGATTAACCGCTTACCAAGAGAGTAACTGATGTCATCCCTGAACCCTGCTCCTCTGCAGAGTATGATTTAAATGAAGCACGCACCACATATGGTCAATTAGAAGCAGATAATAGAACATGTATATTATCATGTGTTTGTGTCATTACGACAAAAAAAATATTGATAGTATTTATCGGTCAATAATAGGAAGCCAAATTGCATCCATTGAGTTAAAGAGGCCCTATTAGGGGTTTTCATTTTCCTGTAGTGTGTTTTAGAGGTTTCTGTGCATGTCAATGGTCTGCAAAGTCTCCTCCTAAAACGCTTCCATTCGACTCCTGTGTTTACTTCTGTTTCAAAGTGACCTCACTATGTTATACTTGAGCTTATATTGGCTATCGCTCCAACACATTGTAGGTGATAGGCTAAGGGGCGGGACATATGAGGGTGAAAAGAGGTGCTGGCAGCACAGCCAGTATCAGAAAAACAAAGAGCTTTTTGAACATTAAAGCATGGAAACATGTCTCAGAGACAATAAAATACTGATATGAACCTGAAAATAAGCATTACATGTCCTCCTCAGCTGAGGATAATAAACTACAGATTATAAATCTTTTTTAAACCCACAAAATGTGAAATCATTGGTCGTCTTATCAGTCCACAAAATCCATATGTGCATCCCTAATCTAAATGAGTAGTAAGGTTTTTATGGGGACTGGGCATGAAACTGTACGTTACCATGACAATGACATGAGTTGTGTGGTGCAGGTGGCAGCGCAGCTGGGGGGTGGCCCACAGGTGCTCTCAGCTTCAGAGTCTGAACCGGCTGTCCCAGCAGGACCCCGGGGCCCTTAGGAACCTGCGAGGTAAACACAGGCCCTGCTCTGATCTCTCCATTAAACCACCCACTCATTCATGGTTGCATTTCTGTCAGTGGGGTCTCCCTGTTTCTTAACCTGTCCTTTTCTAGTGTCTTAGGGTACATCCCATATCTCTTAAATATCATCTATGTTTCCCTCACTCGTGTCTTTTCTTAGTCCCTCCACCACTAGGGATTTCTTGAGGGATGCAAGGAAACCAAACGAGGAAACTAGGAAATGTGTTTTTAGAGCTGGAGTGAGGCGATGGTTTGGAGGAGTTTTTGACGGCAGACTTTCCTGCTGTTCTATTACTCATAAAAGGTCCAAAAACCTGCACATGAACAATTCTCTGCATTTACTCTGTGTACTGTGTCTTGCTTATAGCGGCACGGGACCTTTTTCACTGGCAGACTGCATTTATGTTATTTATTTTATTAAGAAAGTAAATGGTCCGTTTTGTTGTCCAGATGTCTTATTACATATCACCTACGATACTGTAATCAAACTTAGGAGTGCTGCACTTCACTTTAATCTGCCATCAAACAGGTTGAAGGAGAAGACGGAAATATGTGGCAATGTGTGTTAGCTTCCAATAAAGCTATGGAAGGTTTACGTAAAATAAAATCCACCACATGCTTTTTATTGACGCCCAAACCCTCACTAGAACAGAAGGTGTTCAACTGCAGTGTTATGCTGAACTGTTTTCACTTGGTTAGCTCTTACCAGCAGAACATGTAGAATTGGTGAACCTCCCTTTAATGGGCTTCCCCCCCCCCTCCAGGACACACGGTTATGTTTGCTGACCAGTCGGGGTTGAACGCCTCTGGACACATCATGCTGGGAACCATGGACGTCCATCACCAGTGGACCAAAGTAATGCAGCGCAGTGCTTCTGCTGCCGGTGCTCTGTGTGCTCCTCTGTGTGCTGACGCTGCTCTGTGTCTCCAGATGTTCCAGCAGCTGCCCAGCTACCACAGCCTGCTGCAGCAGAGCGACTGGCTGAAGGAGAGGATCAGCCTCCTGCTGGGGGGGACTCAGGTGGTCCACAAGGAGAGGCTGGGCCCCATCCAGCCCATCACCGAGCACTACAGCACACTGAACACTTTCCACAAGAGCCTGATATCCCGCCGACTCCGGCTGCACCCCCGCAGCATGCAGGGCCTCAGCATGTTGTTAGAGAAGTAAGCTGTCACATGACCATAGAACACTGTTTTGTACTTTGACCAGGTAACACATCATGTGTTCTTTGTGTCAATCACAGTGACCGCACTAATCCCAGTCTTCATGAGATGGGGTACTTCATCATCCCTACCACCTGCGACCCCCCCAAGCTGCAGGTGTTCCTGCAGAGACACGCCCCTGAGGCCAGGCAGCGCACCCAACGCAGAAAACCAGTGAGTCAACACGCTTCATTTGAAGGATTCCAGTCACTCGTTGAGAGGAATCAACTGGCATTGTGTTTGAATCACTGCACTCTCTGAGCAGCGTCACAGCATGAAACCTTAATGTGCCGTCTATGGGGGGCTATACAGTGGTGCAGTGATGTCTTTTTGTAGGCCGACCTTGGAGTTAGCATCGCAAGTGCTCCCTCAACAAAAAATAAGCTCTTTGGCAAACACACTTGTTAGCAACAGGACAGACGCTTCAGAAAGGAGTATTTACTGTCTTACAGCAGTGCTTCTCAAACTGTTTTCAGTAATGTTCCCCCTTTGAAACATTTTCTCAGCCAAGTACCCCCTGACCGACCCCGAACATTTTTGATAGAAAAAGCCTATATAAATCATTGCAATATAGTGATGTTCCATCAGTGTGTGATTTATTAACTCCTTCATGCATTACAACAAACTAAGGATATTTTCATCTTTATACAAGAGACGTTTTTTTTAAACAGATTTTTAAGTAATATATGTTTAACAAACCAATGAACAAAATGAAATATTATGCAAAAACTATAAAATACAATACACAAATATTATAATAAAATCCACTGTGGTGCCTGATGTGCAATATACTATCCGAAACCCCATGAATATACAAGAAAACAGCATTAAATTAGCAGTCTCTAATGTAGTGACCACAATGCAGGAAAGGGTTAAAACCACAACATTGTAACTGAAAAAATTTGCAATTATAAACAAACTATGTAATAACACTGCAATGACACTATTTAGGAGTTGTAGGTCGTTAGCAATCGTGTACGACTTTTTGGCTTTAGCGATGAGAAGAGACACCACATCCGAGGCCTGCAGTGCTTTGGCTGATGCTGTGGAGGCTTTTCGCATCATCTCTGCGAGGATCTGTACTCAGAAAGTTTTCTCTTGAAACATTCCGGTGGCTTACCAACATGACACAGGTGTTTGGTGCTGAGATGTCTCTGGAGGTGCGCTGGTTTCATCGAGCTGCTAGTTTCTCCCCACAGAGAAAACACAATGCCTGGGGCGGGTTACCGTTGGTTGACGTGAATCCCATCAAAGCATACGCCTCCTGATATTGACGGCATTTTGTTTAACAAGCAGTAGCGCTGAGCAAAGTGACCAGAACGTGACCACACGCTTGTAAAAACAGAGAAGAACCAGTTAAGCACCAGAAATGCACAAGGGCGGATCTTGAACCCTTGGTGGTTCTAGGAATATTGTATATCAAATTGTGTTAACTTATTGTACTATGATTATTTTTGTAATCATGCATGGTATTTTTTTAATTAACCTTTTTATTAATTGTTATCTCACGTACCCCCTGCAGTACCCCTAGGGGTCCGCGTACCCCCATTTGAGAATCACTGTCATAATGTGAAAATCTCTCCAGCTTGTGTTTCAGGCTTTTAACCAGAAACACATTTAAAAAAAATTGAGTTTGAAACGAGGAAACACAAAATTGTATAACTCCAAGTCATTTCAGGATTTCAGGACTCATTGCTGCACCACTTATCGCTGCTGCTCCTCCATAGCCTCTGCTGATCACTGCAGCTCATTCCACATTGCTGTGTTACTGTCTGACCCACTCCTCTCTGTGTGCAGGCTGCAGGCGGAGGAGGCTGCTGTGGTGAAGCTCTGTCTCCACAACCTGTCTCTGAGTAGTCTGTCCAAAGAGCCCAGTGTGAGCTCCAGTCAGATGATCATGTGCTGCAACAGGCTAGTGGAGCGCGCGCTCCCCTCATGCAGGGCCTCCACATCTGTGTCTCTCAGTTCTACTCTGTCATGCAGGACGGGGACCTTTGTGTCCCCTGGGACTGGAAGAGCTGAGACTCGGTCCATGTGCTGTTCAGTCTCAAGGGAAACCTTTATATGGTTAGTGGTGCAGGCGAATCCAAGTAGAGCTCAATGCTTCCCCACCTGAGGGTAAGGACCTCTCAATGACACGAAGAAGAAAGATACATTTATGCTGGATAGAATTCTGTACTTCATCCATCCGTCCATCTTCTACCGCTTATTGGGGGAGGAAGGAGTTCCAGCAGAGGGTCCCAAACGTCATTTTCCCTGGCCACATCAACCAGCTCTGACTAGGGGATTCCTAGGCGCTCCCAGGTTGTCCCTCGGTCTCCTCCCAGCTAGCGGCCTGGAACAGGTGGCATCTTTACCAGGTGCCCGAAACACCTCCTTTCTATGCGAAGGAGCTCTACTGTGGAGTCCCTCAGCATGACCGAACTCCTCACCCTAACCTCAGGGAGACGTCATCCACCCTCCAAGGAAACCCACCTCATCTGGTTTCAGGCATGTCTTCTGTTTTTCTTAAATGTTTGCTTTTCTTCTTGAATACTGGAGAATTGTAACTCTTCAGGAATGATATCAAAAATCCAAACCATAGTGTTTGCCTAAACTTTAAGGTTTCGGAGGCATTAACTTGTGCAGTTTGACAGAGTGAGTATTTTTAATTGTTGCGTTGAGTGCACTGAGAAATGATGGTACTTTAAAAGAAATAGTTTGTACAGAGTTCTCTGTTCTGATGCCCAATAAAACACTAATATAACTACATCTTTTGTTTATTAATTATTAGACTTTAACTATATATTGTTATTTTCTGAACGCTCTTTGATTACATCCACTGTTAATCTACTGTGGACAGAACAGACTGTAGTATAAGAGTCACACATGTTGTACAGTAAATAAAATTTATTTTCAATGTTCAGACAATACACTGATTCCTCATTTAAATGGAAATAAACAGTCCACAGTGAGCGCTGCAGCTGACGCTCTACTCGTGCCTGCAGCGTCTCCTGCATTTCAAACGGCTCCTGGTGCTGAGGGGAAGTAGCTTTATAAATATCAAGGCTCCTCAGGGGGTACTGTGTGTGGTGAAGTTTGAGAGGGGGGAGGTCTGGGTTGGCTGGAGAGGCTCATTTGCGCTGAACTTGTGTAAAGGATGAGGGCAGCTGGATGGGCTGGACGGGTTTCTTGCGGGAGTCTGGGGAGACCCTCTGGACCGGCGAGGGCAGCAGCTGGTTCCGTTTGATGATCTGCAGGGCCAGCTGGGTGTTTCCTGAGGGCGCAGCACACACACTTTTAACACACACTTAATCTAAGGAAATACCACTAATGGATAGGGCTGCATAATATATCAAAAAGTCTATTGTTATATCAACATTTAGGGTAGACGTATTGCAAAGACACCTTGACCTGATATCAATGATAGCCTATTCCATGTGCCATTCATTCACCCTCTGCATGGTAATATACTCTTGGCTATCAGATGAAGAAGAAGTTACGCTAGTGGCTGAGGCGGTACATTTACAGTCGATGAGTAGAGCACATGGATTTGAGCTGAAGGGAAAGAGACCAGTGATGAAATTATGTGGGATGAAGTAGAAGAACTGGCATCTAAATCACGCCTGCTTTTTGGAAGCATTCAAGAAAAATGACGTTTTATAAACCCACATTTTATGCAAGGAATGCCGAACACATGTGAAAACCAGCGGAGGTGACCTGCAGCCCCTGAGATGTGCCGCACCAGAGCGCAGTGCCGTTTCGCAGTTGGATTGACATCATTACGTTAAAAAAAGACAGTGACCAGAGAAAGGGTTTGTCATCATGATCTTTGTCAAACTTTACAAAGTTATCAGATTTAAAGGATAAGTAAACATCTTTCTGAACATATGTTATTCCAAATGAAGAAACTAAATATTTCGTTGATTTCAGTGTGTGGCATACCGTTCTGCAGCTCTAAGTACACTGCCAGCAGGATGGCTTCAGGTGGAATTTCCTTAGTGTTCACCATAGATGCAGCCTGATGAAGAAGAAAAGAAGAGATTGTAACGTTTTAACTAGAACTTAACACCATTTTTTAGAGAATGCACTATACTTAAGAGACGATTGTTTCTTTTCTCCACACAACATACTTGAAGCCATCATATCGGCTGTGAATAGAAGCTTGTGAGGAACGAGGCAGAATAAAGCTGCCTTACAGTGATTAGCAATCTGCTCTTTGCTCAGCTAGTTACTTTGGTTTCTATGGTTACCTGAAATTATTGCTAGTGCTGCTTCATACAGCAGTCATCTCATTGGTTGCGCTTTAAAAAGGAGAGTGGCATTCCATTTTCATATAATTTGAATGTTGCGAGCAGCATATTGGGGCAATCTGTAGGAGTCATGCACCACAGAGCTCCCAGGAAGTGACCAAGCAAAAGGTGGTGTAACAACTTCGGTGTCATATAATGCCTTTTGGGCAGGAAAAAAGAGGAGAAGCAACTTCCCAACACTTGAATAGCCCTTAATCATTAGGTCCTCAAAAGTTGTAAAACTCACTTGGGTGGGAGGTGGGGCTTAATGATGGGGAGGCGGGGTTAAGACTGGGAATCTGGGTTTAAGGAAAATGAATGCATGCTCTTTAAGCCCAGATGATCTGAGTATCTACTGTCAGGCTGTTTTTCACTTCATGAGACACTGAGCAACTTTCTGAGGGATAAACGAGGCCCCACCCCCAACACTGTATCCACTTCTCTTGATACATCCACAGCTTCGAAGAGGAGAAGGACGGCAATATCAGCACAGAGCCATTTTACCACTGATTCAGTGAAGGCAGCTAAGGCAGATTGCTACACACTCTCTTAAACTTTCTGCATCATGTCCGTGTTGACATTTGACTGGTTTTGAAAACCATATCCATCTGGGTGAGCGGTCTCTGCACACAAAGCTCCAGAACTAACCTCAGAGGCACTGCTATGTTAGGCATGTTCATCTACGTGTGCTGCCCTGTTCTGGGATTGTGTTGCTTTATGCTAACCTAATTAATGTTAATGGTTTGTATTTGACCCTGACGAGGCTGTTGCTGGAGTTTGATGCACTGTGAAAGAAACCCTGACTGCTGCCTTACACAACAAGCTTACATTGCTGCACCTAATGAGTATATGCAAGTCATGTAGCTGTCGTCATGGTTACCTGATGCAGGCACTTGCGGGCCTTCTCGTACTCGCTCCTCAAACAGTAGGCGCTGCCCAGGTTGAAGAGCATCATTGCCCGGGCTGACGTCACACTGCTGGGGTAACACAGGGGGGTCTGCTTCCCTGCCACACACACCACACACTTAGTATTCTGATGTCATTTGAAAAGGAATCATTCTTAGTGTTGTACATATCATTTTTGTTCAATCATAGATGAATTTCTGAATGTTTACTCACAGGACTCCACAGGCTCTTCTCCTTTGTCTGAACCTGTTGACGAAAACAAAGCCGAGCATTAATCCCCGAATCAAAGTAGGGATGGGAACGATTCATCGAATATTCGAAATTATTCAGGTCTTCGAATATGAGAATTTCTTTATCAATTTTTTTAGTTTTTGGGAGGGATGCCTAAGTTGATTACATATTATCAAATTGAATAATTCAATGTATACGACAGTGCCATAGCTAAATGTGTTAGGTGACGTCTAAAGGTGTGTTTTGCTCCGCTCACCGGACCCTCACAGCGGGCAGAGCTGCAGGTGCAGATCTCTCTCTCTCTCGCATCCGGTTATACTTCACTTGTGTTTATGTCCAAATCCATCAGATCTAGCTAGTTCTAGCTAATGATATGGCTGCTGCCGCTCCCTGCACGCAGATCACGCAGACTCAAAGCTCATCTTAGGCCCAAATGTGGCGCAAATGCGCTCCGCAGCCGTTGCGAGGTTCCGGCGCTAACAGTTCATGAGCGTGCTCCCCCGCCCCCTGTCAACACTCGCGACACATGAGTGGCCAGCCTAAACAACAATAAGCGCTGCTTGGCAACCGTGTGTGGCGGCAAAGTACATAGACATTTTGACAGGAGAGATTTTTGCCGGTATTCAACATATTTTACCAGTCATAGTCCGGTAATTATTTACACTCTAAGAAGAGTCCTACACAACAGACATGGCGTCAAAAATGAGTAATGTGTGGACATATTTCGACCAGGTTAGTGAGTGCGGTGTAGAGTGCAAACTATTGCCAAATTAAACTTATACATGCTATACCTTGCTATACCCGCAACCTCCGTTCCAGCTGAGAGGGTCTTCTCTACAGCTGGGCTGATTGTGAATCGCCTCCACACATGAAAGCGGTAGGCCTATAGCTGTCAAACTGTGATCACCAGTTCAATACATTTTACAAATTCGACTTGGTTTCTACACTTATTTGAACATGTATGTATTTATTTCCAAAAATGTAAAAAAAAATTACCCAATTTTTTTTTTTTTTAATAGGATATGTACATTTCGGTTAACCGGTTAACCGTTTTTTGGGGGGTCGAATATTCGAATATACATTTGCTTTCAAATTCCCATCCCTAAATCAAAGCAGTGTGTTCTGTAGAGGACAGTGGAGCGGCCCCTGACCTTGGTCCTGCTCGCTGCTCAGCACCCCCATCGACACGTCGCTCACGTTCTCTGGGTTGAGGTGTCCGATAGCGTCTGAGATCCTGTCCAATGAGATGAGGGCTTCAGCAGCATAGAGGTGACCCAGGAACCTGCATAGAGAGCAGAGGGCTGAGTGACAGGAGCAAACGTGGCTGACGACCAGCTGATCCCTTCACTGATGCTGTGACTCACTTGAGCGATCCGGACACCTTGGTTTGATGGAGCAGTTTCTCAGCGTGGTTCAGTGCCATCAGGTTGTCTCCCAGTGCCAACGCCACATAGGCACTGCAGGCCAGGATGGAGCACCTGCACATCAAACAGAGGTGAGTGTGCAGCCGGGTCACAGCTGATGTGTCGGCTGTAGTGAGGAGAGCAGTGTTTACCTGAGGTTCTCCACTTCCTGTTTCCTGAGAGGGGACGATGGTGCAGCGGACAGGAACTTATCGGCCTCCGGACCCTTCCCACTGCAACACATCATCACACACACTGTCAAACAGCAGCTCTTCAGTCAAGAGGAAGCCATTCTTTACGGTGGATCAGATGGCACAATATGAATATTCTTGTGAACGAAAGAAAAGCTGTCCTAACTGAGCAAATAGTACAACAGAGGCTCAAACAGTTCTAGTTCTAACAGCAACTATATAGAGTACAAAATGCTCAGCAGAGAGATGACGCTCCTGACCCAGAGGTGACCCAGGTAAGCTCCAACATCACATTACTGAGTTGTGTTAATGTTCCGTGCACTGATCATATTTCACCCTCACAATCGTAGTAAAACGCATTTCCATTTTTCTAGGGGAACCTGAATTTGACATCTATACTGAGGTAAGACTAAATTAATCTTGATACAACTTTTTAGTGTGTTTATGCTCGTGTGCGCGTGTGACCTGCAGGCGTCGCTGTTCTCGTTGCCGCTCTCTGTGCTCCCTGCCTGGCTGCAGATCTTGGAGCCGTTCTCTGTCTTGGCGTCCTGCTGGTGTTCAGGCAGCAGCAGCAGTGCGTTCCTCAGGCCGATGGCTGCAAACTCCATACTGGCTACTGGGATAGCTGCTGACTGGCCCTCACTGCACACACACACACAATTATACAATATTTCACTCCATTGAAACATATTATTAGAGTCAAACATGCTGTCATATATATTCTGCAAGAGACCTTGTCATATTCAATGGTATTGTGTTTTTACTTAGGACAGAGACAGATTAGCTGTTCCCCAGTTCCTAATCTTCATGCTAAACTAATCCACGCCCAGTTTTTCATATAAATGCAGTTAGTTTCAGCAGTTAGTACACACTGTGTGTGTGTGGACACTGACCTGTATATAGTGTTCTGGGTAGACTGCGATGCCAGGATGATCTTGCGATGGTAGCCTTGCCCGACAATAGACTGAACTATACCTTTTTTACAAGGTAAACCTTTGCTTTCTTGCTCCGATCCCTGGAAACAAACAGACATTGTTCACCTTTATAAATCTGTACAATGAGTAAACGTTACTTTAGAAATACATTTCAAACAAACAAACTAATAGTTGGTGTGCCCATGGTATCTCTTGAATAATTAGTGACCAATATTACATATTATTCCACTGTAAATAAATAATGTCTTTCACTTAAATCCAAAAACTACTTAGGGAGTGCAAGGTTGTCTTCGCTAACAACAGACACCAACGCTGAAATAGAGGATTTATTCTGCTCATGTTCAGGTTCATAAGTGTATTTTATGCCTCTAAGGCAGGGGTGGGGAACCTCCGGCCCCCGGGCTGTATGCGGCCCGCGAGACCATTTGGTACGGCCCTTGAGGTAATTATAAACACACGCAAAAAAGAAAAAAAATTAAGAAACCAAGACCGCAAAAAAATTAAACAAGCGAGTGGCCGTTTTTCCTGGCCAAGGTCCTTGAACACAACACGAGCCTAACGTGTCATCACGTGGTATATGTCTCGTCTGACAGGGGTGCAGTTCTGCCGGAGAGCACCGGAACGCCGCTCCGGCACTTCAGAAATTACACCCATAAGGAGCCGTACACATGCCGCAGTTTTTGCGTGTCTGTGTCTTTAGTTGAAAGCCCAGTGGCGATCTGTTCATCGGTCATACTGATCATACAGTCAATAACTTTGTTGTTATTAGCATCTGGTTAGCTAGCTATGCTAACGAATATAAGAAGCTTTTTCTACAACCAGCTATATATTGTAAAAAAATAAGAGAATAAAGTAAACAGGTATAAAATACTATATGACAGTAAAAAAAGTTGTTATTAATGAACAAGAATACAGTTTGAAAGGAGAGTGATTTGTAAAATATCCATAAAGAAAAATAAATCTGCTTACAGTTCTGTTTCATATGGGTGTTGAGAGATGTATCCATAGATCTCCTAATGTTGCTCTCAAAGTGCACCAGATTGATGCTTTTAACTTCAATATTTAAAAAAATAAAATCTTCCCGGCGGAGCATACCCCCCTAGAGGAGGTTAGGCCCTCGAGAGGAAAAAGGTTCCCCACCCCTGCTCTACTGTGACATGTTTCCATGCTTTAATGTTCAAAAAGCTCTTTATTTTTCTCATACCTTTTCACCCTCTGCTTAGGCCACACGAGGACGAAAACGGTCGTTTGCGTTACTGTTTAGTGTCATATAGACCGTTAGGCCACACGAGGACGACCGAATACGGCACTAAACGACTGCGGAAACGATAACGGGTCCCAAGGTGGATAGAACGGCATACGCAACGCTCTGTGGGGCCAACGGCTCCGTGTGTACGCCCTATACGATAATTTTCTGATAATGATGAGGCAATAGCCCCGCCTCTCCCCACCTCTGCTGCTCACCCCCCGCGTCAAAGTAAACTGCACCTGAATTCAGATTATTTATCTTTCTCTCGATATGGACCTAAACGCGAGTGAAGTCTAATCTGACAGGACGGAGACACGCAGCTCTGCTTACCTGCAGCTCCTCCCGCTGTGATGCGGCGGTGAACGGAGCAAAACACACATTTCAAGTCAGATCATCACCCTTAGCTATTTTAATTACCTCTCAAACTACCTAAACTAGTTATAAATATGTTTATTTTTACTGTCGGCCGAGTCACTCATTACTGGATCAGCTGCTGCATGAAACCGACACTGGCGCTGTCCGAAGAGAGGGAGGAAAAAGAGGGCTCCGTGTATTTTATTATTATTTATAGAGTCGTTATTCATTTGTTTTAAAGCTCAATAAATAACAAAGAAGACCTTTGACCGGCACTTTTATAATTTTGTCGGAAGGTTTAAACTTTAATACACGTTGACTGGCGAGAAACTCTGCCCGGTTCCCTCGGCCCCCACCGCGGAGAATAAACAGAAGGGCAACCATGACAACCATGCTTCTTCTCTGCTTTTGTGGAGGAAGTTACAGCGCCACGTACAGGCTCCTGCATATGTACTGCAGCTTCTCCAGCGGTTGGAGCTAAACGGAGCTATCTCGTGTGGACAGACACTATCCGGATGACTATTGCGTGTGGACGGAAGCTTTTTTGCGATTGCGTTTGCGTTAATCCTATGCGTTTAGCCGTTTTCGTCCTTGTGTGGCCGGGGCATTAGAGATGTCCTCCCCCCCCCCATACAATGTGTTGGAGTGCTAGCCAATAGAAGCGTGAATGTGACGTAGTCTGTCAGTAAACCAAGGAGTCTAATCGTTACAGGCAGGGTGGGGGAGTGGTTGGGAGAGAAAGGCTCTTTGGGGGGAACTTTGTGATTTTAGCCTTTGCAGACCATTTACATGCACAGAAACCTATAACACTCTACAGGAAAGGGAAAACCACCAAAAGCATAAAGGGTAAAAAGGAAAATCAACATGCAACAGAGCTGAAGTGAAATGAGGAGGTTTCTCAGTCAAGTGTGAACACCTTGTTAGCGGAGATGCAGCACTCTGCCAGGCGCAGCCACAGTCTGGGGTTGGAGTGGTACACCTGCACGGCCTCCATCAGACACTCGAAGGCGGCCAGAGGCCTTCCGATGTGCAGCAGCTGGATCCCGCAGTTATACAGCAGCTCGTAGCGCTTGTTCGCTAGCAGAGCGCACATCGGAATACCTGTGAACTTCTTAGCTGGAGAAGAGAAAGACATCTTCTTACCGTGGTGATAATAATAATAGTAATCATTTAGAAAACTTTAACAATGGAGGTCAAAAAGGGAAGAGAATAAATTAAATAACTAAATTATCCAAAAGTTCACAACAGATAACCTACTCAGTAAGTAATACAAAACACAGACAAAATAAATACATACAATAAAACAATTAAAAAAGGCAATATAAAATCAATAATAATAACTATGACCATTATAGGGGACACTAAAAAATAATGTGTTTCCAGTCGTTTGCCTCTAATATGTGACCCGCTCTATCGAAATCAGTCGGAAGTCTCAACGGCTCATTTCAAATAAACGTGGATTTGCGTAAAAAAATTGTTTTTCAGGGTTTGGTGTGTTTTTGTTTGATTTTAAATAAACAAAGTCTTGGCTTTCAGAATATGAAACTTTTATTTCCAAAATCACACGATAAATACATTTTTGAAGTTGTAAAGGGGAAGACAGCTCTCACTCGTACTCGGCTCTTCTGCAGCGCCGCCCCCCTCCCTCCGCTGACATTATGAATGAAAGGCGTATAGCAGGGGTACTCAAATACAAATCTTAAAGGTCCAAAATAAATGTTTCAATAAGACAAAGGTCCGTTTATTACGGTCATTCAAACTTTTAAACAATTGCAACAAGATTCTTAACACGAGGTTGCAAAAACAAAATAATCTGTATGCAGCAGTTTTCATTGTTATTGTGTCTGTGCTTGATCCCTCAGAGTCGCAGTGTAAGAGCTGCACAGTTATGAATAAAGGCAGCTGCACCCTCTTTCATTCAGCATTCCCATTATTGCTTTATAAATGTCTTTCCCCCTTGTGTGTCCACTGGGGTTCGTCAGGCCCAACACATCTCAACAAACTCCCCCTTTGCCTCATCATAAAACTCACAAACACCAGCAACTGAGCATTGTCAGTGGTGTCAGTGGACTCATCCACAGCTAAGGAAATGCACTGTGCATTTTTATTCCATCACAAAGCTGATGAATCAAATCACCAGCCAGTATTTATGTTCTTCTGGTTGCTGTGCAATCTGAGAGGGGATTTGCTTTGACCTGTTATTTCCTCTTTTTGTTTGCCTTCAAACGTGGTCTCCATCACTTCAGTCATGCATTCTTTTATACTGCAGTTATTATCCAGTGGAAAGCCCTTACCTACTGGCCTAGTTCAATCAAAGTGGTTACTTTTTTTTGGCTGGGCAGTGTAGTTTTACACACCGTCTTATTTGACTTTCTCAGGACTTAAAACAGTTTTTTGGGGGCAGACCCCCTCAAAGAAAACAATATATTTACACACGTAAGGTCATCATCTTAATAGTTGTGTATGCTCATCCGTGAGCAGAGCATCAAGTTGACATGTCTATTACAGCTGAATGCGGCGATTACCATCTTGTTCAGCAAAACGCCTCACAAACGTATTAAGATCAACAGCTTTAGAGCGTTTTGATTCAATGCTGAGTACAGCCAAACTGACAGTCTCTTCTCTGTCATTGTAGACCGCAAATACCTCATTCCTTCAGCGCTTGGGTCCGAATGCTTCTCGTTTTGCGCCGTCCAGTTCAAAATGAAATCGCCGCCAATCGTATGTCCACGCTCGCGCCAGGACCGGGGTTACATGACGTGCATCTTGTGCTGCATTCACTTGCACTCGGACATTAGAGACTTTCTCTCATAAATGTCCGATGAGCCACAACTTTTCTTTCAAAACAAAGCTGCCAACTGGGGTGGCAGCTGGGGTGGCAAGGCCTATTTTCAGGTGTCAGTTGCCACCCCGGTAGGTGAAACTAGGCTACTAGCTACAGTACAGATGGAACTAGATGAGCTGTTAACTCTCGCTCTGAATTTTTTTTGTTTTAATTCTCGCTCTGACTTAGACAGGTTGAAAGAGACACACACATTTTTCCCACCCGCATTCCGCGAAGACCCGCCCTACTGTGCCTCTGATTCGCAGATTGTTTGGGGGGAAAAAACGCTGACTGGATGCTGAATGTGATTGGACCAAAGCGTTGACACACACAGGTGGAACACAGTGGAACAGTCAGACATGCAGAGCGCTGTTTGCAGTGGACCTAGCGGAGAATTTTGACTCGTTGCGAATGCGTTGTGGCGATGTCTCACATATAATACAGAGAGATAATACATATGAAAAGTATAATTTGCTCAGAGTCCGGAGACAGTGGTGGTTCGGTCCGGATCCGGACCGGAGTCCGTAGTTTGAGGATGCCTGGCGTATAGTAATCAGATAACACCGCAGGGTCCGTTACAGTTTGTTTTCATCTGATTTCAATAAACAAAGTCTTGGCTTTCAGAATATTAAACTTGTTTCGGCAAATTCAGATGATAAATACAACTTTGAACTTCGGCATAATTACAAGCGGAGAACGGAGTAACTTACGTCACAGCAGGCATAACAACAGCCGGTGTTTCTCGTGAGTGTTTTCCCCGGGAAACAAACACACGTATTTTGCTGGCGCTAATAATCAATCAGATCGATGGATTCCAGAGAAGAGGAAACTTTGAAAGCCTTTTTCTCAAAATGATTACTCGGTGATAGTCATTATATAATGTGACATATTTAGCTTGAGCACAAAAACAATCCTGATATCATTAGAAAGCTAGGAATCTCCTCTTTCCAGCAGTGTATACAACTCAAAATGTGTCTTCGGGTCAATGCGACTGATTTCGGTAGAGCAGGTCACATATGTCCTGGTAGGGTATTCCAAAGTCTCGTAGTGCAGTGAATAAAAGCTGCTTCACCCATTTAGTTTTAGGGGAATATTTTAAAAGCCGGCTGAAAAAACCTGGTTAGTGTTCACAACATTTGACAATAATGTTTAAACAAAATCCTCAGCAGAAACAATGTCCTTATTGCTCTGGATAATCCATAAATCTCACTGTCAGCTGTTTTCATTATTAGGACTATTTATTTAGTAGAAAGCAGTTCCGGTGAAAGTGCTGACGGAGAGTAACAGTGCATCTAAACATCACAAACTATAAAAACCTGGACAAATCAAAGTCTAGCCCCAGCCTCACCGTGCGCGTTGCTGCCGTCTCCTAGCTGTGCGCACGTGTGGTCGTTCTCTTGCAGCGCCTTCTTGAAGTAGAAAATGCCTAGGTTGTGTTTCCCCATTGCGAAGTGTATGCAGCCCAGATTGTTCCAGAACATACATCGAACACATTCCCCTGTATGAGACAAGATGCACAACCATTAACAAACACATACAAAATAAATCAAACTACTAAGGCAAGCTGCATCAAAAGTAAAGACAATGTTTGCAATCTGAACCGTAAGTAGCTGTGTGGCTTTTCAGATAAAGAGGTAGAGGAGTGTTTACCCGTCTTGATGGGTCCAGGATGCTCTGCGATGTTGGAACTGTTCAACAGCTTCACTGCTTTCCGGTAGTTTCCTCTCAGGTACTCAAAGTTACTCTTGAGGAAAAGTGAGGGTGCAGACTGAGGGAGGAACAGGAAAAAGGTAAGAGAGAAACACACAGACTGGGAGAACCATCAGCATGGTGTCTGTCACTGTAGCGGAGCAGCTGGAATGAATGGTGCTCAGGGTTGGGTTGTAACGGAATACATGTAACGGTGTTACGTAATCAGAATACAAAATCAGTAACTGTATTCAGCTCGCGTTACATTTGAAAAACGAGTAATCTGATTACAGTTACTTTTGTAAACCTGAAGTGAATACATTTTGGATTACTTATTGGAATTATTGGTGGAAAGATTTCCTCACAACATTTAATATTCATTACTTAAGGTACCGCCGAATCATCACAGAGCACACCTATTAACCTAAACCTATACCGCCGCAGATGGACCAAAAAGGGAGCGTTTTTAAAAAAAAAAGGGGCGGGTCCGCTCAGTGAAACATAACGAAACATGGAGGAACAAAAGTCTGCGTTTAAGTTGTGTGTGTGTGTGTGTAGAGGTGTGTGTGGTTAAAACACATCAGCCACACGCTCTTTAGCCTTTCTAATGATTCTGAAGGTAAACACAGTGAAGGCGGTGCGTGAAAGGTACTCGCGCTCCTCTTCTCAGAGGCTGAGTTAACCCTCCCGCTGCCTCCTGGTGCTGCAGAGATTTCATGAAGTGAAGGAGGTTTTCCTTCTATAAAACAGCTGCGGGCAGCAGATACTGTGAGAGTCACAGACATGAATTCATAGATCAAGGCAGACTGGTGCACACACTGCTTAAACATATATAGCTCTACACCCCTGGCCGAATGTCCTTAAAATGAAGTCCGAGTTCGACATTTTAATTCATGTCCTGCCAACACTGGCAGGACAGAAGGCGACACGCCCGTTCTAAGCCGTGTCCCTCACTCCTCACATCCCAAGCTGCATCCCAAAAAAGTTAATTATGTTGTTGCATCGTTTCAGATGCTATGTTTCAGTTGTGCTCTTCAGGATTCTTACACCTTTTCCAAAGTCAAATTCAAGCACTTTTCAAGCACTTTTCAAGCAGCTACAGCGGCACTTGTAAATTACATATTTATATGCACATACTTATACTCAAATGATTATTTCCCTACCTCACATTAAATCAGATGTTCTTTATGCTATAAACAACCAAATGTGTGTTTCGCAATAGCATTCTACACAAGGATGACAAATTAAAGAAAAATAAACAAAGTTTAATATTTTAAAATGAGTGACCCATATGTAAGTAGACTGGGTATCCCATATAAGCTGGCTGAGCCAATATAAAACAGCCAAATAACTTTTCAATAATTCTTTATTAACATTTTAGAGGTCCTTTTAGGTTGGCAATAACATACGGCTCTCCAAGGTTAGGACAAACGTTTTATTTTGATACAATGTGACCAACCGAGCACAGTGTGAAGAGAGCGAGGTCACAGAGCACACACTTTCTACATCATACAAAGATATAATATAGATATATATGTATATAAAATTATAGACAAACTCCCCATAAAACGCACAGTATTTCTCTATCTAATAAAAACAGAACATAAGACTTTAATCTAAGTAACAGCATGAGGTCAGTTTCTGTGTAAGAGTTTTGGTTTTTACAATATTGAGTTATCGTAAGATAAAATGTACACCACCACTTTTTAAATCAGTAAAATGAGCTCATTGAGACAGACCGGATTCCAGTTTGGGTTTTAACATCCCTTCTCCATCGAGTGAATTTCTCTGGATTTATTCGCCTACTGCTGCGGCGGAATGAGTACTCTTACTTACTCCGCCACAGGTCTGCAGAACACACGACGCCCTGAATGCATCCTCACACACAACATGCAGGAGCAATCACAGGATTAAACTATTACATGAAAGGAAATGGAAGTGGAAGACACAAACCTTCACAAAAGTCCTTTAAAAAAAAAAAAATACCAAACAGCATAGAAATCTATTGAGGTAAACAAACCGACATCTTACACAGCCAAGGTAACAATTAGTTACCTGCCTTCCTGACTACTGCAACACTACAAGGCCTACAGAGCCGGACTGTGGCCGAGCTGGGGGGGGGGGGCGACTGAGGGAAGGTCCTTTGGGTCAGTAGGTTGTGTGTGTGTGTCTATGTGTGTGTGTTTGAGTGTGTCTCTCTGTGTGTGTGTGTTTGTGTGTCTGTGTGTGTATTGTGTGTGTATGTCTGTGTGTGTATGTCTGTGTGAGTGTGTGTCTGTCTCTGTGTGTGTCTGTGTCTGTCTTTGTGTATGTGTGTATGTGTGTGTGTGTGTGTATGTGTTGTGTGTGTGTGTGTCTGTCTGTGTATGTGGGTGTGTGTGTATGTCTTTGTGTATGTGTGTGTGTCTCTGTGTGTGTCTGTATGTGTCTGTGGGTGTGTCTCTGTGTGTGTATGTATGTATGTGTGTGTGTGTATGTGTATGTATGTGTTTATTTTAAGTTGTGTACATTTCTAATATGTTAAAAAGTGAAATGTATCTTACCAAGTGGTGGCCCTGAGTCCCCTGCAGTTTTGCTTGCAGAAAGGACTGCTCCACCCCCAGACAAAATGCCACACCCATATAATTCCCTAATTTTATTGGACACCAGCATGTCAGGTGACGTTGTGTATATTTAAAAAAATATATATATATCTAGAGGGCCAGTGTGAGATCGAAAAAAGTGTTTTTTGCCTGAGGGCAACACTATGCCATAGATAGAGGGTTAAATACAATTTTAAAATACTTTTACTTTCATTTTATGCAACTGTGTACTACACTTCTTTCTACTCCACTAAGTTTGCCACTCTGCTGTTCCGTAGCGCTGGCTCCCCCTCCCTCCAGCTGAAATTATGAATATATGGCGTATACGCAGTGCTTCATCAAAGTGTGGTCCGCGGACCACTGGTGGTCCGTGAGCGCCCCTAGTGGTCCGTGAGTATATTGGTAACATTTCACATTTGAAATAAATAAATAAAAGTTTTCCGCACCTCTTGTGGGAATATCTCCGCAATGGAGTGAGCTTAAGTTTCACTTTCAATTGCATGATATAGCCCAGCGCAACACCTTCATCACACATGTTGCTACTTGTTTGTACCATTTCAGGCAATTTCTAATCTGTTTCTAGAAAAACGATGTGTTTTGGGATATTTTTGGAGTTAGGTGGTCCCGAGTGTTTTTTTATTGGTTAAAGTGGTCCTTGGTATGAAAAAGTTTGAGAACCACTGGCGTATAGTAAATCATAGATAACACGGCAGGGTCCGTTACAGTTTGTTTTCATCTGATTTCAAATAAACAAAGTCTTGTCTTTTCAGAATATTAAAACTTGTTTTGGCAAATTCAGATGATAATACAACTTTGAAGCTTCGGCATAATTACAAGCGGAGAACGGAGTAGTAACTTAACGTCACAGCAGGCATAACAACAGCCGGTGTTTCTCGTGAGAGTTTTCCCCGGGAAATTAACACAATAATCACAAACGCAAAAATACACACACACTCGCGAGCTTCCCCCAGACCAGTACAAACGATAATTATGTTTCCTCCGTTAGAAAGCTAGGAATATCCTCTTTCCAACAGTGTATATACTCAAAATGTGTCTTCGGGTCAATGCGACTGATTTCGATGGAGCAAGTTTAGGGCACGAACTACCAGTAGAAATACATTGCTTTTAAAATCATTCTGTGTGACATGAAACACCACATGATGGCGACTGACATAGGTACGCTCCTCTGAAATTATTGTCACCTGCATAAGCAATTATCCCACATTGAGTTCGCTAACGTTACTAGCTTAAACAAACGTAACATGCAACGTTAGCCTAAGCCAAAATGCTCTACTACGGCTTACCTTTCATTGTGGCTCGTCAGCGCAAACTCTCCCATCGAGAACAACTGAATTTCTTTTTGGCAACCTTTGCATGGTTTTAGCCATGGGCTTGTATTTTTTCTTCGGATAGTCAACGCTCGTTAAACAGCAACCTCCTGGCATACTGTCATCTCTATATCACTCTCATCAGAATGCCCAGTTCACACAAACACTTGCAAGGTCGCGTGCATAGCGCAGGAAGGCCGGAGCGGGGCTGTTTTATGTAGAAGCGAAGCAATTCTTTTTCTTTTAATCTAAAAAGCGAACTATTCAGTCAGACAGCAATTTATTGTAAAAGTAAAGCAGTTTATTTCAAGCACTTTATCTCAATTTCAAGCACCATTCCCAAAATCAAGCACTTTCCCAACCTTGAAAACACCACGTCAAATTTCAAGCATTTTCAAGAATTTCAAGCACCCGTACGAACCCTGGCTCTTGATAAGCCATTAAAACACGTTCAGTTTCCTTTTGCTTTTTGTGTCTCCTGTTCACCAAAACATACCCATCTGTGATGGAAAAAAGAAAGTAATCTGATTACGTTTTTTAGACGCGTAACTGTAACTGTATTCGGATTACTTTCAGAGCCATGTATTCAGTAATCAGTAACTGATTACATTTACAAAGTAACCCTCCCAACTAGTGTTAATTTCGTCAGCTATTTTTTATTTAGTTTTAGTCTTAGTCCCGTGTTAAATTTCCTTTTTAGTTTTAGTCATATTTAGTCACCTTCATCCTGTTTTATTTAGTCAAGTTTTAGTCGACTAAAAGTCTGAGCATTTTAGTCTTATTTTAGTCAAAGAAACTAATTATTTTAGTCTACTTTTTGTCAATGAAAACGGTTTGAGTCTTTTTTATTCATCAGATTATATAGAACATTTCAGTCAAACTAGTCTAGCCAAACCAATGTCATTTTTAGTATATATAAATAAGATTATATCTTCTTGTCCTTATTTGATGAAAACCACAGGTTGAATGATTAAGAAGCTTTGCAGAGAGGATCTGCTCAGGTTGTGGTGGTTTTACCAGCTGTGTTTTGGCCACATTGCTTCCCTTCTGATAAAACAATGCATTCCACTTTTTTTTTCTCCGCCTCATTGTAGCGAAAATGGGCCCAAATATCACATCGTTTCTTTTCTCCCAAGCAGTGGTGGCTTTAGACTTTTCGTTGTCAGTCATTTTGACGGACAGGATTGTAACATTTCCCGTCATAATCCATTATTACCCGTCGAGTGCACAATTTATCACTCACTCGCGCTGACGGGGGGTCTTCGGTTAACGCGAGTGTGACCACTGCTCCAAGCCCTGTTGTGGCCATTTTATTTTCTGTTAAATAAAGGTTAGTTAGACCCGAGTCTTCCTGACAGTTCATATTTTGCCGCTGCCTGGTGTAATTCAAATGTACCGCCGCGCGCACCACAGACACACAGCTGCTGCCCAGCGCAGCACACCGGAAATGGAACTGCTGGGAGAAAAACTGACTATCAGAAATGTAACGTTATCTTGATAATATTTCGTCTCCCTCATTTTCGTCAACGAAAGTAAAGAGAGATTTTGGCATAGTTTTTATTTAGTAAACTACATTTTCGTCTCGTCACTTTTCGTCAACGATATTGCATGATGATTTCGTTACAGTTATTGTTTACTGCTGTCGGTGCCGTCTCGTCATCGTCTCGTTTTCGCCATGGAAAAAAAGGTCGTTGACGAACATATTTCGTCAGTTTGTCAACAAAATTAACACTAATCCCAACCCTGATGGTGCTGTAGTGTGAACAAAAAGCTATAAAAACATCTTCTTATGTTCTTTTTAATCTGTGCTATGTCAATACCATGAAAGTCTTTAAAACATTATATCCACCTTTCAAAAACAATGACATCCTGGCTTGGGGGTGTAGTATTACATGTAAAGGGAATAGGTCATTAGGATTTAAAGTGTGTGGGAGAGAAACTTTGGGATTTTAGCCTTTGCTGACCATTTACAAAACCCTATGTAAAACACTGCAGGAAAGAGATAACCCCAAAAGCATAATAGGGGCTCTTTAAAGTAACCCTGCCAGCCCTCATGACATCACATCCCCCCCACAATGTTTGAACAACATCATGGTGTAGACTCACGTTCCCTGCTGTGTTCATCACTGACTTGATCTCTCTCTTACAGGCCTTGGAGGATTTCATCTGAATGTAGGCTCTCACTTTGTACTGTAAAGGAAACAACAGTCAGTCACAGAGGCTGGAACAGGGAGGGGGGGGGGGGGGGGGGATCTCTTACCTGGTGCATCTTTGACTTGGCGGCCTCCATCATGGCTGTGAACTCTGCCTTCTGGTTGGCTCCATCTTTGTTTGAACTCTGGAATCAAGCACAGCATTCAAACATTTAAGTATATCTTTACTTAGTTAGTGGCTTCAGGCGCAACTGCATAACTATGGGCTCAGAACAGTCTCATAATACACACAGTTCACACATAAGGATTCACACTTGTATTTCATAATCCGCAAAAGGATTCACACTTGTATTTTTCAATGCACACACACACGTGTTCCGTTTCATATACATGTAAATAAAATCCAAATACAGAAAAAAGTTTTACATATGTATTTTTGATCCTCACATATTTGTTTTCCGTTTAAATCTGAACCTGCAAACACAACCACTTTCTGTGCACGGATCGCTTGCATTCGTGTGTGGGTTTTTTGAGACTCCCCTGACGGTCAGCCGATTCGTACTTGTAATTGTTTATATCTATAGCCAATCAGATGTCTCCTTCATTCTAAGCCAATCACATGAGCGCGCCCCCCCAGAGGTAGATTTATTGCGTTCATGACACTTCATATACGCATTTTGTGCAATCAGGTCAGCTCGCTAAACAGAGGGCGGAGCATCAGGTGATCATGCAGAGCAGCGTGTCTCCATCAGACTCAGCAGCTGATCTGATCTCTCTCTCTGCGTCCGGTTATACTTCACTCGCGTTTATGTCCATATCGATCAGATCCAGCTCTCCTGATCGGCCTTTATAGAGAGCACCGATCAAACTATTAAGAGTGAATATCGGCCGATAATGACCGGCGGGGCTCCCCCCGTTACAGTCACTGTCTAGCACTGGCTTCGTAGTGCACTGATCGATTAGGCTAAGCTAACCTGTAGCTGCTCCCTCCACACTCACAACAACTTCATACAGACATAAATAAAGCAGCTGTATTCGCCACACAGGAAACACACATTTAAAACGGTTTTGCCTGCCGTTTTTGTGTACACAAGCATTCATCAATGGTTCGGAAAGTGGCGCTGTACCTTAATAATATAAAGGCTTGTATTTGCGTGCATTTCCTGTTCGGAAAGTGGCGCTGTACTGAGAGTGGAGGGGGTCCTGAGATTAGCGCCTGCAGGCAGGCTCCATGGAGCTATCAGCTCCGGACTGCGCAAAATGCGTACATGAAGCGCTACGTCATGAACGCAAGAAATCTACCCTCGTGGGGCGCGCTCATGTGATTGGCTTAGAATTGAGGAGACATCTGATTGGATAGATAGAAACAATTACAAGTACGAATCGGCTGACCGTCAGAGGAGTCTCAAAAAACCCACACACGAATGCAAGCGATCCGTGCACAGAAAGCGGTTGTGTTTGCAGGTTCAGGGGATTTAAATGGAAAACAAATATGTGAGGATCAAAAATACATGTAAAACTTTTTTCTGTATTTGGATTTTATTTACATGTATATGAAACGGATCACATTTGTGTGTGCATTGAAAAACAAGTGTGGATCTGGAAATACAAGTGTGAATCCTTCTGTGTGCATGTGTGTATTATGAGACTGTTCTGAGTCCAAACATAACTAGATAGAATAGAATAGATAAGTGTTTACAGCTGTAGCCATACCTCTCCTTTGCCGTTCTTGCTGCTTCCTGTTGTGGACAGTTTGTCCAGCACAGCCAGCAGGTGGAGGGCCTTCTCTGGCTGGAAGGTGAGCAGGTACAGGTCCACCAGCAGGAAGCACACCGCCTGAGCAAACTTCTCTGCAAGGACAAATCAATAAAAGGACTGTGTGTCAAAACCTGGTTCCTTAGAAAATATATGTACAATACTTTCAGATGATGATGGGATGCCCCCTCTGTATATAAACCCTGTTAGTGGGACAGGTTTCAGACTCTTTACCTCATTCACACCAACGCAACTCCGGTTCAAGCTCTGTGCTAGAGCTTTTCAGGTTCAGAACCGGTTCTTCGGTTTAGCTCCGGCTCTTTTCACACTGCCCAGAGTCCGACTGGTGCTGCGTCATTGCGTCATTGTTTGCGTCATGACGTAACCGTTTGCGTGCCTGCTTCATAAAGCCAAACCGCGGAAACCCCTCACAGCTGACACCGACAACAACAACAATGACCAATTGTGCTCCAGCTTCCTCTGTACCTCTTCGGAAGACCAGATTCCCAGTAGGTAGCTGGTCTCTTCAGTGGACCACTGCTGCTTGTTAAGTTTCTCCATCGTTGTGTACAAACTGGATAAAACGCCGGCTTTTTGTTGTTGTTCAGGAGTTGATCCCGCCCCGACGTAAGCGTGACGTATGCGGTGCGTTTGACAATTTGTTGGTGCTTGAAACGAACCGGATTCCTGAGCTAAGAGGCTGCTCCGCTGCGGTGTGAAGAGGAAAACCCGGTGCTTTTCAAGCTCCAGCTCCGAACCGGCCCTGAAACACCGTTGGTGTGAATGAGGCAAAAGACTTAAAACTGTGTTGAAAGGGTTAACCCTGACCCTTCATATACCTGTGTCTAGTCCAGTGGTTCCCAAACTTTTTGTGCCCAAGGCACACCAAAGGACAAGTAAAATCTCAAGGCACACCTATTGTGCAAAATAGCCCTTATAACACGTGTTATCACTCATATCATGTAAAATATCTGTAAATGTGCATAATTATTTACTAATGCCAAATAAAATGTGACAAAGACAACTATATTACTCATGAAATATTTATCAACGAAATATTTCAGAAATTAATTTGAAACTTTATCAAATTAGGCTTCATCAAAGCAGCAACACACTCATTTAAACCAGACAGGTCACAAAATTAACATTTCAGCAATCAGCATTGAAACATGTGCTATTGTAAATATTTTGCCGACTTACAAATTAGTGAGATACATGTTCCTGTCGGGGCGCAGAATTTTGTAATCCTTGGTGGCACTGAGGAGAGGGCCACTCGCAAGTCCTGTTCAACAGAGAGCCGTGACCTCCTGTTGTTCTTCATGTAAACCAGAGTAGAGAACGCTAACTCCAGAGATGGGATCGTTACTAATTTTTTTTAATATATTACATATTACTTTAAAAAAAGTATATATTACACTACTTCGTTACTATCTACATAAAGTAACTCGTTACTTTAATCGTTACTTTACTCGCCGAGCACGTACGAACTGCACATGCGTGAGTGGCAATAACTTTCCTACCAGCAGGCGGGCGGTAGTGTGTATTTGTCATTCAAAACAGGCAACAACCGGAAGACAGAGAAGAGAACAGACTGCGTGATATAAACAAACAACAAATAGCGTGTGCGGTAGCTTCACCTTAGCATGTGTTCTTTGCAGGTGTTTGTTGAGGTTTGACGTGGTGTTTCCAGCAGTGGATAACAGCTTCTGGCCTGGACACAGTTTGCACCTCACCGTCACATTCCTGTCTATTCTTCGGACGAACTCAAAATAATGGGCATACCTCCACCCCTCGAAAGTTATCGCTGACTCAGCCATGTTTATGCAGCACTGCACGTGGAGATGTGGACGCACAAGTCGCGCAGATTACGTACATATAAACCTACAAAGTACTGATATAGTAAATAAAAAATTATTATTTTTGTGTAGTTGTATATTGCAATAATAACGTATGGTTGTCACAAAATCCCACGGCACACCCGGACTTGCCTCACGGCACACCAGTGTGCCGCGGCACACCGTTTGGGAACCACTCGTCTAGTCTATCAAATGGTAGACTTGCTCATTTTATCATAACGTTTTTTATTTAAAGGGACTGAGAGGTTTGCAAAAAATAAACACCATTAGTTTATTATTTTTGACCAAAAGATGCTGATTCTAAACCATGGTTACAAAAAGTTAAAGACAGTTACTGTTTTTGACAGAGAGAGACTAGTTTGTCCCAAAGCTTGCTGCTGTATTCACACCTTACACATTAAAGAGTGCCTTATTCAGCTGTGAGTGTGACTCAAGACGAAGTTCACTCCATCATGGTGTGGTAGTGTAGCGGGTGGTATGGAATAGGGCCTAGGTTAAAGGAACGGTGGTTTACACATCGATGTCACGATATGATCAGCATTTCCTAATATTAAAGACACAATAAGTCAAGACTATGCAGCTTTTGTCTACACTCATAAAAGTATCAGTTTAAATGTCATGTCCTTAAATCCTTTAACATTTTGTCAAAGTCATGAAAAATGCTTGTCACATGCTATCAAGGAACAATGTCCTCAAAAAGCTACAAACACCTAAAAGGTATTCACTTACATGATAATACATGTTTATAGAGTTTTATCAAATATTGAATGATTCTGTCCTTGAGATTGAATCGGGAAAACAATGGATCGGCAGTTGGGTGATCAACCAGCTGTTGTATGGAATATTGTCAGTAGTAACAGCAGAACATACCAAACGGTTCCAGGAACTGGTAGAGCCTCTCTCCTATTGCGATGGCGTCAGAGTACTGTCGCATGTGATAGTGGATGATGGCTTGATTATAGTACAGCCAACTATTTTCTACATCATCCAACCCATCAATGTCCTCTGCCGATGTGTGAACCTGAGATATAAAGAGTGATGTGAGAAGAAATGCGAGACATCAGGAAGAAGCACGGTTAGTCTACAACTTATACTGTAAACATGACATTCAGCAGTTACCTGGTTCTTCATTGCCAGTAGTGTCTGCTTCAGAGTCCCTGTTGTAGTCTGACTGCTTTTGTAAAACTCTACGACGGCTTTGTTCATAGCGATCTTATAGTCCTCCTTGTTGAGCTCCTGCAGGGTTTCCAGGTGTTTGAGTGACTCGTCGTACTTCCCGCTCTGTGAAGAACAACATGACCAGAGGTCGCGTTAACCGAATATTTTCCCTCAATGACGGACAAATCTGAAAGCAGTCCGTCATTTTGACAGATTAGAACACATCTCGGAACAGCGCCACAATGTCCACCAGCGGCCCACATTATATTACATCCTTAGTGGCCAGGTCCTGAGGGCGATCTACTGTACTCTACTGTAGTCTGTAACTATTATTTAGTCATTCACACCCCTGTCCATGGTGGCGAGTGGGTGTATATTAAGTAGCTATTGTCTAGTCTTGTTTTTGACCTCGTTGATTCGTTGTTCCGGCTTTAGCAATCGCAAAATGTCACGGCAGCTGATCGTCCGAAGCTTTTTTAATAAGCCCAGTAATTGTGATGGTGTGGATAAACGAGGTGAAAAAAGAGGGATTGATGCGGTGGAGGATGAAGGACAAGCCAGTAAGACTAAAACTGACAACGTTCAGCCAGCGGCAGAGGGGCAAGCAAGTGGCAGAGGGGCAATCAAGTGGCAGAGGGGCAATCAAGTGGCAAGGAGTTCAAGCGGGAGTACCGGGTTCAGTGGGAGCAAGAGTTTAAGTGGCTGAGGAGGGAAGATGGCAAAATGTTCTGTTCTGTAGAAAGCTAAGATGAGTAACGGATTTGTCCGAGGGTGCACGACGATGCAGAGATCAGCGTTCAGGCTACAGCAGGTCAATTGAGTTGTTCTTGTACATTTTTGTTCATATTCTGATTGTAATTGTCTCATTTAAAACGATGGCATTGTTCATATTTGCCTGTTTAGGCACAATGGTCGGCGTGTTTTTAGCGGCCTCTGCCCCCCTCTGCTGTCAGTGCAGGAACAAATAAATCATTCATGTTCGTGTTGACATGAAAAGTGACCACACGGTCGGTGTCCTGTTCATCTTTTTGTTTCTCCATGCCCTTCAAAGTTCTGTATGAATCATTAAAAAAAATGAATGAATGAACATTTGCTGCTCAGTACCCAAACATAAATATTAAATATGTCTCATAATTAAAACATGAAAAATAAAATGACGGGTCATAATGGATTGTGACGGAAATGTTACGATCCTGTCCGTCACAATGACAGACAACGAAAAAGTCTACGCAACCACTGAACATGACATCATTTCTTCTTGCGAAGTGTTTTTCTGACAGTTATCTCTGAGTAGCTCCATGTCTGTCCAACACAATAACGTGTCTGTGTAACAAGATGAGTCAAACAAACTACATGTTGACCAGAGTAAAGGAATATTTCACCCAATGCAACAGTATATATTTATAAACCATTTGTTTCTGATTGAAATTAAATGATCAGCAAACAAAGATGTAGTTTTATCTTACATTAAAAGGAGAAAATAGTGCATTTGTTGGACACTTTTTTGCAAATAATTCACATTAAGTGCTTTAGTGTTCTGCCACCTGCACTACGTGAATGGGATCAGTCTTAGAAACTAAATTGTGTGAACATGTAAACAAGATATTTGACTGTCTACAGAGTTTTCACTGTCTCCCTTCAGTTAATGATCCTTTCCCGATTTAAAAAGCGCTTCCAGTGGCACCCCATCCTTCCAACAGGATAAGGGCTTAAATGATGTTATGGTAAAGTAGGTATATAGGGTTAGGTTAAGGTTGGGGTTAGAGATAAGATTAGGGTTAAGGTAAACAGAAACACACATTGTTACAACACCTAAACCAGACCACAGATGAGTTTATGTCTGTTCTGTCATCAACAGTGCCGAGCCGTGACTTTTATATCTAAAGCCCACCCATTTAGAGGGAAGATATGATTGGTCAATTGTACTGTCATTTGACATTACTCTCTCGTTGAGTTACTACAGCAGGACCACAATCAGTTCCTGTCTTCACAGTAATAAGCTTTTTTCATTTAACCCTTCACATTCAAACAGAAACTGAACAGGCAGATTTGAAGGATTTATTTATTTGGAAATGTTATTTTAAATACAATTAAATCAAGTTATTTTGGTAAAACTAATGAAAAATATAACTAAAACAATATTAAAAAATATATATTTAAAAAAATATGTTTTCAAATATTATTTTTTAGACTATCTTAGGCCCTCAGAGAGAGGGCCCTGACGGCTCGCCACTGGTCATCAATTTTCTCACATTATTAGTGACAGCTGATATGACCTGCTGCTAGAAGGTCACTTTAACTAATTACCATAACCCAGCAAGAAGCCACTATGGGTTTTTGTTGTACACTGCTATTCTTTGAAGAAAATTAACCTTTATTTATCCCCCTAGGGTGAAATTCAGTTTTCAGTTTCTGTGCCATGGAGAAAGACAGCATTAGGGTGTTTGTGTGTGAAACTGTTATCCAATCCATCAGCTACAATCAGCTCGGATCTCTACTCTTGATGGAGGAATTATACAGAATGTATCGCAATCACTAAGAGAAGAAGTAAGCTAATTTACAAGGTGTATTACATTCGCATGAAGTCAGAAATGTGTGAATTTATATATGGAGACAAATGTGACCCTATGCTTATTGCTGACCGTCTTTCTGTAAGTGTTGCAAGTACAGTTTTGTTGACACTGCAGAACAGTTTTGAAAGGTGACAGTGTGACTGCAGAGAATAGCCAAAATATATGTAGTGGATTTCGAAGTATGTTAGGAAAGGAAGACTTACCAAATATGCTTCATATGCACTGGCTGCTATTTCTTTCTCCTGGTCTGTCACGCCAGGGGACGATGAGCTGTCATGCTTTGCTTCGTTTTGTTCTGATCAAAATGAAAGAGAGAAACAAATGTCAAGGTTACATAACATCACACACTTAAACAGAGGCTTGACATTAAAATGGAGATCACTAAACACATTGTCATGTTGGTGGAACCGCTTTAATATGATGTGTGATTTGTGAATGGAGCATTTGCCTGCTGGAGGTAGATTGTGGACTGTAGCCATAAGGGATGGGCACTGTTTGGCATTTATAGCTCACTGACAAGGGTTGGGAGGGAATTTGGCCCCACTGCTTATACTGGTAGCTCTCTCTAAATGCTGGCCCTACCGTCCGCATGTGGCAGCAGAAATCAAGCTGGGTCCAGTTGAGGTGAGCCTGCACTTCAGCCCCTGTAACCCCAGCTTCCTGTTCTGATCTGACACTGGAGCCTGCTGTCGGTGGTCCACTTCAAGGATGATGTTGTGCTTTCAGAGATGCTCTTCTGCATAACACTGTTGTCCCGCCTTGTTAAAAGAGTTACTGTTGCCTTCCTGCCAGCTTGAACCAGTCTCATCTGATCCCTCTCATTTTTGCTCACAGAACTTCCGATCAACAACAGTCTGATGTTGTTCACACCATTCTCTGTAACTGTGAAGACTATTGTGGTTAAATCAGCAGATACTAAACTACCAACAACTAGACCATGCTCAAAGTCTCTTAGATCACATTACATTGCATTTAGCTGACGCTTTTGTCCAAAGCGACTTACAATAAGTGCATTCGACCAAGAAGATACAAACTAGAAGAAAACAGAATCATATAAGTACATCAGGTTTCATAGAGCAAAACATTTCAAGTGCTACTCAACTGGCTTTAGATAAGCCAGTCCTTTATTAGTATATAAGTGCTTTGTTAATAATTCTATCGCTCGAAGTGGAGTCGAAAGAGGTGAGTTTTCAGTCTGCACATATATTTCAGTCTATATTATCTTCAAAGTATATTACCAGTTTTCAGTCTGCACATATCCTCTCAATTATAATGTTTGGTCTGAACAACCACAACTCCACATGCTTTATGCATGATTGGCTGAGTAGATATTACACACTAAAGAGAAACATGTACTTGTGTAGTAAATACAGTAGCACTGAGTGCAACTCCACATGACGGTATGTGACAGTTGGCGGATTAATTGAGAATTTTAAGTGACATTTTAAGAAAAAGAACATTAACAGTTCATCACATCTTTAAATCCTCCTTTTTATTCAGAATGCATTAATTGATTTGAATAAAATAAACGTCTCAGCCGTTGCCTTGGTTCACCCTGACAACGCTAACTGTTAGCATATCTGTTAGCCTGCTCACTGATGTGGGATTAAACTACATATTCTTATTATCGGTACTCGGCGGATTATACGACAGCCGTATTTACCAGGCTGGAGACGTTAACGCTGGATGTCTGAAGACTTGTTCATGTCCTTAATGTTTTCCACTGAGAAAAAAAACTTCAATGCGACATTTGTGAATGAAGTTCTGCCTGAACGTGTCTTTGGGCAACATGCATTCGGCTAGGCTAACGTTTACGTTCACGGGCGCTGTAGATAAACTAAGCCTTATGCTACACAGCACGTCTCAAACTAAGGACAAACTGAGCATCGGGGTGAATATTATCTTCAAAGTATATTACCAGTAATTAATTTCAAAATGTGCGTTAAAAGTGCATTAGCTTAAATTGACCATATCTAGCTACGCAGCTAGCATTAGCTAACACACTCACCTGTATTTTCTGCCATATCTGTGGCCTTTTCGAGGATAGTTAGAAAACCTGTATGAGTCGGGTCCGTTGAGATTGGATTTAATTCCGTTGATTGGCACATGTAACGTTGAAATTATCCGTGAATACCTTATCATCAGTGTTTCACACAGAAGATGGCTAGTGTCCGCTCTAAACAGATTCTTCTTCGGCGTTGCTGACAGTTTGCAACAAACTGGTTATACCGCAACACCGCCCCTGCTGTTATGCACATGTCAGCACAGTTTGAAAGAGCATTCTTCATATCATTCCTATTGTCAATATCATATTTAATGCCCCATAAATAATAAAGAGAGGTGTGTTTCTGGCAAAAAGACAGTTGTCTAGTCTACCACACAGCCAAGATACAAATCACAATGTATCATATTCAATAAGATTACAATGTATCGTGTTTGCTGTTCTGTAAAAACCAGGTATCTTTACTAATCTTTTCATGATTTTCTCAGAAAAAAGCCTTTTTTTTTCGACAATGAGTTTCCAGCTTACTTTCTGTAGGCCTATTTAAATTCATGAGAATTGCATATATTATTCAGTGAACACTTATTATTATTATTATTACGCCTTAGATGTCGAATTGTGTGTGATAGATAAATATGATTTATATATAAATAAAATCAATCTTTAAAACTATCAGGATTTACACATAATGTATTTGATATTGTCAAATTACATACTGAAGACCACAGGAGCAACACTGTGAGCGCATACATTTACGTACACAGCGTGGGGATGTCATAGTAATGCACCTTCATACATGGAGTAAAGGTCACCATCACTAAGTAATTCTTAACAATAACAACAACCGTAATGCTTTAGCATTAAAACACCATAGACTGTAAATATAAGGAAAACACAGACACTCATCATCGAGGTCACAATATCAATCGATCCAGCAGAGGCAAAACACAGAAGATCAACAAAATATATGACATAAATGAACTTACCAAAGCTGAAGGCTCACTTGAAAAGAAAAGCGGCACGGCGGTCCTTCCTCTGACAGAATGTGTCTATCACTTTGGGGATGAAGTCTGTAGTTGCTGGATCAACTGACTTTCAATTGAAAGCATGGCCAATGCGTTAAGTCGCGGCTGTCCCATGGTGTTGCGAGTGAAAGTCTTTATCCTTTTGAGGGTGGAAAAGTTCCTCTCTGACTCGGATGTCGTCATCGGAGTTGTCACTATTATTTTGACCAAAATAACAGTCTCAGCAAACGTTTCCTCCAAGTTGTTCTCGTGAATGGATTTCAACAGAGACAGGGCAGTGTTTCCAGTGTGAAGCTCACTGTGGCGGTAGAGCGTGGTCAGCTCAGACTTCAACTTCTCCTTGTTTCCCAACGCAGGCCACAGTTTCACGGCGCAGTCAAGCTCAGGTGTAGGAAATGACAGGACATGCTGTGGGAAGAATGAGCTGTCAACAAGCTTTGCAGCGATCAAATGGTCACTCTGTGAGAACCTCTGTTCCACCTGTGAGATGACTGTGTCACAAGCCTCCTTCATCACCGGCGCTGTGCTGCTGACTCGTCGGCCTGGCTCGTCTGTTCCATCATGAGCAGTGGCGGCCAATGCATCAGTTTTCTGCCTCATTTTCTGAACATTTTCCTTGAAACGGCAGAGCGCGCTGTTGATCCCAGGTGCATCGATGCTTCGTTTTTGCAGAGTGTTGTATAGAACATCCACTTCTGGCATAAGCAACGAAAAAAACTCCAGGAGCTGCATAAATGCTCGGTCCCGCAGTTTCTTTGACAGGCCGTATGCCTCACTTATGGTGACCGCATCCCATCCTGGTTGTGCGTGTATATGCTTCATACACTGAAGTAGTGCATCTCGGGTCTCCCAAACCGCGTTCACAGTTCTGCTTTTAAAGTTCCATCTCACAGCCGGTGGCCGTGGGATGCGTCTCTGTGTTGCCTCTGCAAGAGCTGCAACACGTTTTGGAGCACCGGAGAAAAAAGTGGAAAAAGCAGTTAGATCTGCAAAAAACCCCTTCAGGATGCTCATCCTTGCTGAACACAGTTGCTGCAGGGTCAGGTTCAGTTGGTGGGCGTAGCAGTGAACAAACTGAGCGTTTGGGTACGTCTCCTTCATCACCGTCTGTACCCCGCGCACGTTACCGCTCATGACGGCCGCCCCGTCATAGGTCTGAGCGATTAGCTTTTCTTTCAGCTTCAGGGGTTCCAGAACAGCCTTGATGCTGTTAGAGAGACCTACACCAGTTTTGTCCTTTACTTCCACAAACTCCAAAAAACGCTCTGTAACTGTGAGGTCAGGCATAATGTATCGCAGCACAATCACCATTTGCGATTTACAGGAGACATCGGTTGTCTCGTCGGCCTGAACGGCAACAAATGATGTGTTGTCCACTTGCTTGGCTATTTCCTCCCTGTACACATCATACATGCAGTCCAAGAGTTCATTCTGTAAGGTGCTTGATGTCCCTTTGAAAACAAGCTGAGCTTCGTAGTGCCGTTGAAGCCTGGAATCGCCCTCACACATCAATCAATCAATCAATGTTTATTTATATAGCCCAATATCACAAATGTTACATTTGTCTCAGTGGACTTTACAGTTTGTACAAAATATCAGTATGACAATACGACACCCTCTGTCCTTAGACCCTCACATCGTACAAGGAAAAACTTCCAGAGAAAACCCACAGTTTAAAGGGAAAAATGGGAGAAACCTCAGGGAGAGCAACAGAGGAGGGATCCCTCTCCCAGGACGGACAGACGTGCAATAGATGCCGTGTGTAAATTGAAAAGATAATACATTTGCAACATAGGTAGTCCAAATATTTGGAAATGCATGTGTGTATAATAGGAAGATGAATCCACGAGGATATCCATCCAGGACCTATGATCCAGGACCACAGCCACGACTCAAGATCCAGGGCTCGCGATCCAGGACAGAGGAGCGCAGGATCATCCATGACTCCGGATCCCAGCGTATATAGACACCAAAAAGAAAGACATTTGGGGAAGCTGGGTTAATCGGAACATGAGAGTACACAGGTATAGACAGAGAGAAGGAAGAAGTAAGATGTCCCCCGACAAACTAAGCCTATATCAGCAAAACTAGGGGCTGGATCTAATCAGCCCTAACTATAAGCTTTATCAAAAAGGAAGGTCTTAAGCGCACACACATTGTCTCGAAAATTGACCTGAATATCCCTGGATTCAGAGAGTCCGCCGACTCGTTGTGGCCCCGCAGTGCTGTCTCACATTTCCCACACAGTTTAATACAGGTGATGATCCGACCAAGCACGTACCTGTTTTCTTCCACCTTCCTATTATGAGAATCAATGCCGCGTCTGTAGGCGCTGTCAATCTGAGCTGCAACATTCACCCTTCCAAGTAATCCCAATTTTACGGCATTTTCCAAATGACTGTTGCTGCTCTCATGCTTCATTGTCCTCTCCGAAAGATGCTTTAAGTCCTTGTAACCTGTCCTCGACCAAGTACCTTGATCTTCACCAAAAAGCAGGCAAGGAAAGCAAAAGGGGAATTCTTCTGGATGCTCGCCGTTAGCCATTTCTTTTTAGCAAACCACTCAGCGTTAAACCCACGTTTAACTTTGCCCGCAGTCTGGACCATTTGGAAATCCGGTGGATGGTGGTCACCGAGGCGCTTTACCTCTAGTTTCTCTCCGAGACTAAGTGTCTCAAATGTGTGCTCCAGTAAATGGTCAACTTCATTCATTTTCTTTCCGTTTTTTCTTCTTTTAATCGCTGGTGATGTTAGCTATATGCTGCTCTCTCGTCTCCTCTTCAAACTACACGTGACGTTTCGCAGCACTGCACACGTGAGTACTTACAGCCAATCAATTCTGAATTATGTGAGATGACGTATGGTGGGGATGGGAGCACTATGCCCCTACGGTCATTATTTTTTTTCCACACACATTAAATAGAAAAATACTCTGAGCATGCGCAGTGTAGTTTTTACAATCACCGTTCACTTAGACCAGGGGTGCCCAACCTTTTTTGAACCGAGAGCTACTTTTAAAGTTGCCAGTCTGCCGAGATCTACCAGTCTAAATAGAGAGGCGTAGCCATTACTGACAGCCAGGTAAATACACACTTCTACTTGTATAAAACTGACCTTTGTACGATTAATACTTCATAAAATACTGCAGATCCTTTATCTTACCTCTTTCTGATCTACACACATACAAGTATTTAACTGAAGTTACACAACAGTGTTGTTGATACGGAGTTGGAGTTTATTCACACGTCACTACAGTGGGTAATGTTTTCAAGAAACATTGAACAGTGCTGCCACATATGACACAGGAAAACAAGAAAAGACTCTGAACCCTTTCTTTGCCATTATATAAAAATAGTGTTGCTACAAAAGTATAAATTAGGCTTACTAATAAGACAACTCAGATCTGAAGCTACACAGGAATCTGCAGCCAAAGTGCAATAAAAAAAAAAATTAATAGAATCAAACCCTTTTTTTTTGCATTTTAGTAGAATATCAAAAATAAATGCCTTTAAAATAGGATGCAAGCAACACTAGTTTCTTAACCTGAATTGATAATAGACTATAATCAATTTAAAAAACAGATCTTAATGTTTGCATTCTTATACCATTTTGTACAATAATTATAATGAATACGTTCAGACAAACTAAAACTTACAGCTGATTAATAACGGTATCAAACTTGTGTTTTTATTATATCAAAAACCTGTTAAAATGCTACTGTTATTTTTACTGTCCCCAAAAAGCCCGTCGCAGCCTCCAGGAATGCTTCTTTCACAACTTCGCCGTCTTTGAAAGACTTCATGTGTTTCTCAAGAACGTGACTGACTGTGGACCTGGTGAAAATGGACTGCTGTGCATTTAGCTGTCCTCTCAGGCCCCTCCCCTTTTGGAGCGTAGGGCAGAATTAGGAGGGAATTCCGTCTCGTAGCGTTTGTGCACTGTTTTTAAATGCCGCTCCTAAATTACCCTTCTTTGATAAAGCAACACTCGCATTGCAGATGAGACAGATGGACTTTGAATTGGAATAGATACAAAAATCATCCTCCCACTCGGAGTGAAAATTATATATTTTGGGCTTTTTTGCTTCAGCCATAATTGCGGTCTTGTGTGTGTGCGGACTGTCACTCCTGTTGACACGGACAACGTCAGCGAAATAGTGCCCACTGCCCACGCACGCCACCCCCGACACATGGGGTCACGCCGGCCAATCACAAAGCTTTGAAGCGTTCAAGTGCATTATTCTGGCATAGGAAGATTATGTTACAAGACATTAACGATAAAACAGAATATTGTTGTTCTATTTTTAGACACATCTCGCGATCGACTGGGAATCTCCCCGCGATCGACCGGTCGATCGCGATCGACTGGTTGGGCACCCCTGACTTAGACTGTGAGAGGGAGGGGCAGGATCGGGTTTTGTCCCACATGGCTCTAAACAGCTCAAAACGGCACTCTAGACACTAATTAGAAGAACACAGACTAAAACAGAAATGTACAGACGAATCAGATTATTAAACATGACCTTAAATATATTTAATATGTTTTTTTATTTATTTTTTAGTATTTTTTAGTAATCATTATTTGTAATACTTTCTTCTGACACTAGGTGGGGCTGTGCCCCACCT